AGGAGAGGAGAGGAGAGGAGAGGAGAGGAGAGGAGAGGAGAGGAGAGGAGAGGAGAGGAGAGGAGAGGATTGTGAGGAAGATAAAACTGCCAAAAAGAATTATCAAAATCAGAATTTCTACTTATTAATTATTGATAATTATTTCTGCTCAATAAAATAAAGGAATCAACTTCAAACTCAAAACCACATCTTTTCAACCTAAAATGCAAATTCCAGATAGTTAGCTTACTAGGAACAAAATAAAAAATGCTACACAAACTTCATCAGACCTTTCAGTACACTTCCATTTATTTTTCCTAAAACAAGTTCATTTTCCAGCATCCTTAAAATTGAAAAATCTTGACTTTAATTTGACATAAGTTACAATATCTACATTTTAATATATATGTTTAGTATAATTCTTTTTCAATTTCATATGCTTTCAGGAAATGGACAAGATGATTTCTTGTCCTTTTTATGTCTAATTCCTTTTAATCTATGAATTGCAAACATTTCTACAAATAGACAGGGTTAGCCCAGATGTTTCTTAAAAGGGTAAGAAAACACCACAACTTAAAAAGGGAAATCATCAGTGACTGAATCAAAGAGCTGGAATGCCATTTCTTGGGAGATAATAGCTATTGTGACTCACATTTTTACAATACAAGCCTGGATTTTTCCATCCCTCTCAGGCACATTTTTGAAGTACAAAGCTTCCAAACACATTGTTTCTGAGATATCACCATGCACAGAATGAACATTTCCCTCTTGCTTGTCTTTGTTAAATTCAGTTAACATCGGTTCGCACTGATAAAAAATGTACTAGTTATGTAAACAAAATGTGCATAAGAAAACAAAGCCCTGAGAAGCATAATTTCTGTGGCACAGCAAGAAGTGGGAAAAGTACAAACATACTGCTAATGTCTGTATTTATTCAGTGAGATAAATGCCTTTTTCCACGACAGCTTTAGCCTTACTCTCATAGGCTTTACTCATCCTAGTTCAGAAGACCTTTCAGGCTCTCCAAACAAGACATGTTTGCCCTGCCTCCCATGGATGGTTGACTGTCACCTGGGCAATGGGATACTTGGCCACTTGGGCAATAGGATACAAGAAAAGTAGGTCCTGCTCACCTCCTGATGCTCTTGCATGGGGTCTGCAGGCTCAGACCACCATCCTAGCATTTGCCAATCCTTTATCACAGCCTGAGATGCTGACAAAATCTCTGGGGAGGTCCCATCAGCCAGTGGCAGTGGGGAACAATGAGACTAAGGTCTTTGCTATGCACTACACCCACTGGCTTCGAAGAAGCCTTAGCTTTTCTTGCTTTTATCTCTTAATAGCATGGTGGTACATGATTTCTTGACTGGTACAGGGGGTATCAGGGATATACACATTTCACACATTTGAGAACCATTATAAAGAAGCCAGACTTGAAGGTCAACAGTGGAAACATCATTCATAAAATAAAGGTTGTGTACAAACAGACACACTTGTCTCAAGTAGGATTTTATTCATCCAACCATTCTGAATTCAAGAATGCTTCTCAAGAAGCAACCAATGACCATAGGTCAGGGTGAGGGATGAGAGC